GCACTTTACTTCCGTTTTACGATAAATCGACAAAACACGACGTGAAGCTTGCATGATTTATGATGAAAAATAGGAAATTTTGCCAGACTTATATTTTGGAAAACCATGCAAAAGATTAAGAAATCGAGTTAAAAAATATAAATTACACTTATCTTTTCAAAATTGTACTGGCCGCGTCGACTTTCCGTTAAGGAAGGATCTCATGATTGCTCCCAGGATATCCATAGCGTTCGTTGCTACTTTTGCGCAGCTAGATGAGGATTTGAAAGTGGACGTCATCCGCACACCTAGATCCATTACCTCGTTTACGAGCTGGATTTCGTGACCTGCGATGAAATACTGATATTCAGATCTCAAATTCTTTCTGTTGCTAGATCTTAGTCGGATGAATTAGCATTTGATGGAACTGAGTTTAAAATGGCATTTATCATACCACTGTTGCGCAGATCTGAGTTGTTTTGCAAGTTCAGCGCGTCTTTCGGCCTTTTAACAGAACTCAATTTCTTCATATTATCAGCAAACACTACCTTCTTGCAGGTCAGGCAATCTAGGCAATCGTTCACACGTATCAAGGAGAGAATAAGACCCAGGACGCCTCCCTGCGGGACCCCGCTGTGAACGGTTTCCCACTCCGATTAAGCGCCACCACTGCACACACGCGGACATCGGTCTGCGAGGAAATCGACATAAACTTAATTGGGGATGTCAGTTACACCCATTTGACGCACTTCATATATGAGCCGCCTGTGTGGCACCTTGTCAAAGGTTTTGCTCATGTTAATGTGAATTGCATTTACTGACAAACCCTTCTCTAGGGATTTCATCCAGCTTTCCATTGATGTGAGCACGTTAGTGAGACAAGATCGACCATCTCCTACTCCGTGTTGATGCGTACTAAGCAAGTTGTTCTCCTAAAGTTGTCTAATTAGTTCCTTTCTTATTATTTCCTCCATAAAGTTCCAGCAACTACTTACGAGACTCACTGATCAGAAGCCAGTTGGCGAGGTTCTCCCTCCTCCTTCATATGTGAGGCTTATGTTGGTTAGCTTCCATTTAGTAGGCAGAGCCTGGGCCTCCATCGAACTTCCGAAGATTTTGGAGAGCGAAATTTTGACGGGAGTGTGGGCTCTGCCTACTAGCTGAAGTTAGCAACAATAAGTCTCATACATAAAGGGGAGAGAAAGTCTAGAACCGTAGGGTACTTAAGACCATGGTCCCGGAAGATTGTTCTTGGAATGCTCCAACACGAACTTGTTCGCTAAAAAACTAAAGGGTTTTTACAGCCTTCCTGAAGATATATGTCTAAGTCAGCTATCTTTTTGTAATAAAGCTTAATGACCTTGCGCATGATGGTTTCGAAAAATTCGTTCCCATGCTCTTACTTCTCCGCCATTGTTCTTAAGAAAAACCGTCCATATTTCCTTGGTAGCAGGACACACAAATTCCTTAGAATTCCGAACGACTCGCATGATGTTTTCTGCTGCCTCTCCAAATATGAATGCATAAAACATGGACTGTGCATGATCGTGCATCTATCACTATATGTATAGCACAAACCAATGGTGGTGAGTGAAGTAGTTGTCCCCTATCTGCACCACCACGGCCTACTAGTCAAACATGGCTTTTAGCGCTGGCGTTGTGAAGTACATGGTCTCCGGCCCTTTCTCGTCATAGAGGAAATCGGAGAAACGGCCCCCTTTTTTTTAGAAACGATAGATTTATCTTAGGAAAGCCCTGCAAACCATGTCATTTGACAATTTCTGTCGTGTAAACTATTCAGGTGACGGAGAGTCACGGTTGTGGTCAATTTTGAAGGATATTGCCGTGATTCTATCATTTTTTTGTGGATGATATTAAAAACGAGTCACATTCAACATGGCCAGTAATATGGATCAAATGCAGTTACTAATCTCCATGTTCCTCTTCGGAGCCATGATAAACACATATGTCCGACCAACATACATAAACTTCTTATGAGGACATCTTGCATTGTAGTAGTAGCCATTTGCCTAAAAATGCCCTTATATTGATCTCTCTCCCTTTATTGAGTTTTCCAAGGACATCTAACAGATTCATCAGTGAGTGGAAGCATCGGCCATACAGAATTTTGCAGAATTTTAACTCATAATAGGTGGCGGACACCATAGTTACGCTGGTGCAAATGTTAAAAAACTGTGCTATAGTGCCTATATTTTAACCAGTTCAAAATCCGTTAATTTTTGTGTGGTGACTTTCCGCATACTATATCAGTCGCTCACTCGCTTGGGTAGATAGTATGTTTTGCCTAGAACACGAAATCACGACTGTCTTAGCAACTGTTGTTTGGCTGAGTCAGAAAGCCGTACACTTTTAAAATGTCAGATGACGGCGAAGCCGCCGCTTCTGTTCACGAAGGTGAGGAAGTTGAGGAAGAACATGTAAGTCTATCATTACTCTTGATCTTTATATTTCAGGCCATTGTTGATAAGCCACTGTCAAAAGAAATGGCTGCGTCTTCCTTATCGATGTTGTCCCGACTTGGATATGGTCTTGCGCACGCTTATATAAAATTTCAATGCGTGTCAAGGTGAGTACAGCAGGAACTCCTCCGCTATCAAACAAAACTGATCAATTAGAAATATTTGAAATAGTTAAAACCAGTTGAAGTGATAATTCCTCACAATTATAACCTATCGATTAATCTATTGTACATGTTTGATAATATGTTAGTATAGTGGTTGTTTGTATTTACATGGCTCAATGCGGAGCCATATGAGTACTGTGTGTACAGCTGGGTTACTTTCGACAGGAAGTTGGGGAATTTGGGTGTGCCTCATTTAGGGCCGATGCATGCACACAGGCGAGAAAATTCATGTCGTAAAAGGTGATCAGGAGAGAATAAAAAGTGGCTGCCCCTCCGCATTTTTTTTCTGCGGCTGACAGAGTGGCCTAGCATGTCTGTTATCTTGCCTTCACTCGCTGCTTAGGGCGGCCTAATTCACTTCAGCTCTGCTGAGAAAAGGGGCTAGGCTGGGCCATCTGTGATAGAATTTAGGCGCGCAGAGATAGCCCATTTGGGTTTGTAAGCTAATGCAGGGCTAGTAATCTAACTGGTTGACGGTGGGTGTATGATGTCAATCACACGAAAGAATTCCAAGGCGGAGAGATTGTTGGAATGAGTAAGCCAATCGCAAGACTAGCCCGCGGCCGGTCAACCGGGCTAGCCTTGGGCGACTAAAATGATATCAGGGCATGTGAGTACCGTATTAGTCCAGCAGTTCCTACAAACATTCGTATTTGATTTTGCCGTGCCATACAGTTTTTGTAGAGGAATATATAATCGGGTTCCTCGAAATGTAATGACACCAGCAGTCGAAACAGCCAATTACTTAACTACCTCCAGAAATGTGAATTTTCCCGATGATTCTTCGCCTTTACATCCCACCTCTACTTGTGTTGGGTATGACAGTAAAATTTGATTTTTAGGGCAGAGGTTTAGCGAATATCTGCCAGTGTATTCAAACTGTTCATTAATGAACATTTGGAATACACTGGCATATATAAAATGTAAATTGCGGCTGCACTATTTCGGAACAAGACGCACTTTACATTTTTACAGTCGCTGCTGGAATTTGCTCTTGTGCTTGGCTAGTCTCCATTATCAGTAGCATCCACGAGTGGGATACACAAAATAAATTATAACTTTTCCCTCCCATGTGGAGTGATGTCACGTGCTATGAAAGAGAACATTATTGAGCACCAAACTTTCAGCCATTATTCTCTAGGTTTTTTTTACTAATTCATCCGAAATCTCCCTTCAGGTTGAGTGCTATATAAGAATATAAGGCTCCCAACGAATTAAGTTTTAATTTGTCTGCAGGCTCTTTATGGCTTTCTTGGTTTTTTTTATCAATGGAGAAAAGTGGAAATTTTATTAACGTGTTTGCAACAGGGCACAAACATCGCGCCAGCCGGCAAAACCTCGAGTTTTTACACTCCTTTCTCATGATGCGCAAGACCTGAGTCCCACATATTGCCCGTCTTCCCTAATTTTAGAAATATAACGGATATCTCGCTTCTTGAAAAATATGTGCATCTGCGTATTGTCATTCTGAGCGGAAACTACATTACGGATCTTACACCGCTCTCGGGGATGCGAACTCTGATGTACTTAAAGGCTGATCACAATCGCGTTGCCGAAGGTGGACAGGTCAAGCCACTCGATCACCTGCAATTCTTTGATCTATCCTACAACAAGCTGACAAATACTGATGGATTTTCTCACAGGTCTCTGAAACACCTGGTCCTTAATCGTAAGAATCGAAGTCGGAGATCTGATGCCGAAATAACTACAGTTTTATATATATGCCAAAATACGAGTTGAAAAATGTACTAAACACTTTTGGGAGTAATTCAAAAAATACGCGTGGGAAAAAATCCCCCGCACTGCGTCCTGTACTCAAGCTGGATAGGCAAACGCGAACCCCATGAGATACTAAATAGTCTTGATTGCAGCATTTGACTCGATATGTAACGCGTCAGTGTCGAAGCCTTTCCAGTCTAGTATTCGAAATAGGACTGGTTGATGATAGACATTAGTCAGAAGCTTACTTTGTGAATTACGAGACTACTGGATTACTGTTCTTAACAGGTATGTTTGTCGCTTTCAGACAATACAATACTATCACTAAGAGGGGAATTTAGTCCCCCACTGAACCACCAGAAACTGCCCAGCCTGCAGACGCTTGAGGTGCGCGGGAATAAATTAACCACTACCGAGGGTCTTACTTACCTGTCCAAAGTCGCCACGCTGTATGCCGCTGCAAACATGATCAAGTCCCTGGAAAACATTAGCTACATGACTGGTCTTGTTCGTCTACACCTACGAGACAACCATATAAAGAAGCTTGACTGGTTTAACAGCGACCTAGTGAATCTTGAATATTTGAACTTACGGTAAGATTTGAATTCCCATTTTTTACTCTGTGCATGTATTCGTCAAAGGAAGAAGGCGTCTGTACTATCCAGTAACCGTATTTCTTTGGAAAATTAAGAGGCTGGTTTTGTATCGGGTATCCTGTAGTGTCGGGCAAAAATGACCGCATGTTCCTGATCCAAGCTCTCAAAAAACGAATGTGACTGGATATCAAGGCTTGAAAAGTTCTCTTTTTTCGGTATTTCTATCTGAATGGTTTACTGAATACGCAGAAATTGAGTTTAATCAAATTTTTCCATGCAGTTTACCCTCTGTACGAAGGGGTGTAGCAAGATCAGTTGGCGACAACTAATTTACAACATTGTTGCTTAGTTGTAAAATTATACGTCTCCTAAACTTTAAGTAATACGCCCTTTAACTACCGGTGCTGTTTGGGACCTAAGCAGAAACTATTGTACGTTTATCTCATCAAGACTGCTGTGTGAAGTGAAAACTTGAGTAATATGAGGCTACTCACATCAAACTTTACTATTCCCTGTAAGAAAGGTGGTCTGCAAGTTTTCGCTTTTCTACTTCAATAATTTCCCATCGTTTTCAGGACTGTGAATTTTTCAACCGTTTTAGATAAAATTCTGTGGCAGTTTGATATGGCTGTTAGCTTGGGTCGTGCCGATACATAAAATTTCAAAGAACCTTTATCAGAAGACAAGAATTAAATTCAGACTGAGGAAGACGTCTCATTTGCACAAACATTTCTTTACTAACAAAACTCCACAAAACAGACTAATCATTCTTGGACATACCAGAACAGTCTTAGTTGACTTCTCAGCAGGTTGCACTCCCAAGTTCATAATTGCGCATGTAACCAAAGAGTGCGGCAGGGACACTAGAATGGCCTTTCTCACCTACTTTACCTCCTCAGGGACTCTGCTATGACGTCAACTCAGGCCCAACCCCGTTCTCTGGGAATCTAGCATTATACAAACCGTTCTTTTAGCTGAAACTCGAAACCACTTCCCGTCGGTTGAAATCAGAAACACTTTTAGTCAGATGGGACTGGACTTCACCGATTTATCCTGACTAAAGTCTGGAAATGGGCACTTTCGACTCACTAAGCAGTTCACGATCAATAGTCAGTACTAGGAATTGTACGGTATCTAAAGTGTTAGCGATAGAAACGAGGGGACTCTGCAATGTCTATTTCAGTATCACGAGAACAGGAAATCCCTGGTAATACAGGTGACTTTGCGCTAAATTAAAAAAGCTGCCTATCATACCATCCTCACAGCAGCATTGACCCCAACAATAACCCTAACAATAGCCTTGATTTCCCTAGAACCTAGCGTAAGACCGCCTGTATTATGGGGCGTTCCTATTCCTGTCTCCTGCCCCCATTTCTGACTAATTTGTCATCCTAAAATCCCTACAAGAGATTACTTCTAGTCATCTCAGTCCATGTGCGTACGTAGGGGCTTGTCTTCGAATTTGTATCCCTGCGCCCTTTCAAGTGCATTTAAATAATAGCTGTTGAAATGTTCTCGGGCTTCTTTAACAAGAACGATGTCCAGATATGGATATCACATCGATTAGTGAGGTTGTCTGACGTATATTCTAGTTTCGTTCAGGCGGACAATTGTGTCATATCGCGGACAATAGTGAATTATAGCACACCAGCATAAAGATCGGAACGACTTGACGGAGTAAGTCTCTAGAGTGAAGGCGTAAACGCGACCGAAAAACGTGGGCTTGCGCCAGCAAACAGTGTGGTTTTAAAAGCTTATGCTATTACTACAGTGGCAGGTGCGGTATTCCTGGTTCAAAAGTGTCCCCAAAAAGTCCCACGAAAAATTAACTGTTGACCGTACCTTTTGCAGATAACTACAATTCGGACTTGATGGCCCGAACGGTAGACTCTGAAAACGGGTATCGGTTTTAAATACGCTCTTCACAAGTTTCAACATGCTTGTAGGTTCTATTTAAAAGATAGCAATTTCATTGACTAAGCATCCTGGTAGACCTTCATTGAGCTTTTGATGGACGATTTTAGCTAAAAATTCAAAATTTCCACTTAAAAATATATAAGTATTACTACACTTTCACCTAACTGTGAAACAGTCGGTACCTCGGAGGGATTCGAACCCACCTCTGAATTACGTGAGCCTGGTAGTCATTTGGTGGATTCTAGATGTATTACTTAAGAAATTCTGCTTGGGCAGTCATCTGAGTGTATCAGATTTGGTGGATTCCAGACGTTGTAGTAGGTTCGGCGGGTAACTTGACCCAAATGTGATTAAACTGACGTCATCCAGTGGGGTCTCGTAGCTCAGGTGGTTAGGGCGTTGGCTGCACTAAAGTCACACCTCGCTGTCAGGGGTTCGAATCCTACCGAGGCACCGAGTTTTTCAGTTGGATCAAAGTGGATTACTTGAAATCTGCCAAAACACCTCTTAAATGTTACTTCCTTAGTGCAAATTATGGAAAACTCGCGTAGCCATTTAGTATTGAATAGCCGACCCTCCTAATTAGCGTCCGGTCTTCTTCTGTTTGAATAGGGACAGTATACCCCGCATTAATGCGAATTATGAATATTTGTCCTGGGCAAATCGTTAAGGATCATTTGAAATACGGCCTATAACATATATCTTCTATGAAAACAAAATGCGTTGTTCTACACATTTTCCTTGCTGACTTCCGTCTAATGACAAGTCTGTTTTCACAGTCACATCTAAGTTTCGCTGATTAATGCTCGGATGACATTTTGCTTCCAGTCGATAAAAAATTTCGTGCAGCGTCCTTGTAAAAACGTCCTATAGTCACTTATTACAGCCTACTTCGAGGAATGTATAGAACCAGCACAAGTTTAAAACGTATTCCCTGCCTTTTTACCAGCGGCAACGAGGTAAAGCGTTTTCGGGAGGTGAGGAAGCTTGCCGTCCTTCCAGCCCTGAAATATTTGGTTCTGAGTGGTAAGCTTCCCAATGGCATTTTTGCCTTCCAACTTACGCACTTCTTGACTTCCCCTCATATTTCATAGATAAGCGCCGGACTGTGCTTTTGAGCGCAACTTAGTAGTGACTACTGGACCACAGGCACTTGCCCTTCCATTCGGATTCAACCTGATGCCCACCCTTTATGTCTATCACCAACGTTTTGTGATTTTAGTTCCGTAGTGCAACCGATGAGCGTTCCTCTGCCATTGTGTATATCTTATCACAACCGACAGGACAACGAGTCTGTGGATCAGTGGTTAGGGGCGTTGGACTTCTAGCCAACAGGTTGCGGGATGGAGCCCCAGGTGTTGCACACCTCGGAGTTGTGTACGGCTGGCTGACGACGGCTGATAGGCCGGTAATGACCATCTCATTCTCCTTTGTCTTTGTCGGTAATGCATTCTGTCATTATATTGTGCATTGAATGCGGGGCAATATTAGTGGAAGATAGTCGGTGTGTGCAAAACTTGCCCCCACTCGAAAGGGGCACGAGCTGCCCCCTGTCGCGTGCAGCCACCTGCAGTGAGGACAGGAATTCGGCTGCCCATTGTCCTGTCGCATTGACAAACTTTCCCACTCCCATTTAATGGCAGTCCAGCGTTTCGTTTCGCCCCCCTTAATCTGAATAAAAGCACTAGGATTCGCTAGCCGGTTGGACGGGATTCAACTCCTGTAGACATTTGAACCTAGGAGTGTAAAAATCCGTCCTGGTTTCTCGCGTGCATTTCTTCGTTCTCCCAGATAATCCAATTTCCGAACACGAGGAATACCGGGCGGTTGTGCTGGGTACGTTGCCACACTTGGAGAAGCTCGACAAGGAGACCGCAACCAAAGATGAAATCGCAGAGGCGATTAACTTGGTTGAAACACGAGTAAGCCAAATGCTTGTGCCATAAAAAATTATGTTTGAACATGGGAAATAGTACTCCTCTCGTACTCCAGGTGACCTTACGTTAAATTCCAGGGGGCAACTATTCTCGTGTCCTAACTTTAACCCCTCCCTAATCCACCTGGCCCTAACTCCGAACCCCCTGGAACTTCGTGCTAGACCACCTATTATGCGGAGGGGACGTATTCCGTTGTCTTACCAACATTACTCGGAGATACGATAAAGTGCCGAATTTCCAAACGCATTTTCCACATAACACGGATGAGAGTGTTGATTTTTGTCGTTTGCTTAACTCCAGATGGGCTCAATGCCTCATCTGGTTTTATTCTTCGGGATGTTGTGTTGCGGTGCGTTGTAAAAAAATTGCCAGTTCAAATGAAATGCCAAATCACCTTGTGGTTTATGTTCACCAAGGTGCCTTCCTAGCTAGATTTTAGATTGAGTTTGTATTCCTCACTCTGTTAAGATGGCGTAAACCAAGGCTAATGGCAAATGAATTATCATTTTACACGTAAAGTGACTATTTGACTGTGCCCTTGCTCACACGGCTTCTTATAGTTAATCTTGTCATGCATTCTACGACTCCGTTCTATTTCGAGTTTGTTTAAGTCAGTTATAAATAACCTTAATTACACAGTTTATTTTGATTGCGCTAGGACACATATACGTGGTGAACAGCGGCATATGCTTCGCCTCTTGCCATTTCTTTCTATGAAATCCGGAAAACTTTTGGCGCGGCAGATTAATTCGGTCTTCGAAGATGCGCAAGTACTAGCATACGATCCTGCCATCGACCGCTCCTTGCTCTCTAAATTTGAATCTACAATCTTAAATGGGCACTCAAAAGAATTAAACAAACTGGCATGGGGATTCGATCTCATCTACCTTCATGGACAGTGACGCAATGAATTTCTACTACACAGCCAATATATTGGGCACTGCTATGCGAAAATATGCAGGACCAGATAGGGATAATCATAAAACGGACCAAAATTCCTTAAAAGTACCAAATAACTCAGAAACCATTATCCTTGCATCGACTATCGCCAGCAATTCAAAAACGAAACACCTTGCGTAAATTGAAAACCTGAAAACAGATACAAAGCGGTATTGCTTACTTTCAGTTTGTGAGACAAGTGCGTCACACCGTGGCTCGTTAATATTAAAATGTACCTCGTACTATTCATGCTGTAATCATTACGTTCACAAATTATGTACTCCTTGAAAGTGAGTTGCGCAAAGGCATCTTTCGTAATAACTAGGCCTTAGCACAGAAGAGGAATGTTGCATCGTATCGTGAAAGCCGTAAAAGTGTTTGCTTATACCTGGGAAATACCAATGTGGGATTGCAAAATATTCATGGAAATTTCGGGTCACACCCCAAAAAGTCATGTACCGAAATATAAATTCGTGTCCTCCACTTGATAATTTCTGAAATTACTACCTTGAGTACATAAATAGGTATGTGGGGAAAGTAGTGGTTCCTCAGAAAAAAGTGGGTCGAACTTCTTGAACTTATCAAGTTGGTGACAGCAACCCGTCGCCAGACGAAATGAAGACAAAGCAGAAAGTGAGACTGTCGTGCCAGACCAGTTGGCTCGACAATATAGACATCAACAGGCAGACCATTAACGCGTGAGAGGGGTGGGGTGGGCACGCGGTCACAGTAGGTTACTGAGCGGGGAGAGAGTATAGGGGAGCAGTTACGGCTTTCTATGTCGGGGGAGCAGAGGATGGTGGGTTAGTGGGATTGCGGGCGGCTGGATTAGCGGTTGTTGATGCGGCATAGGGCAGCGCTCAGTGAGCCGTGATCCCGGGTCTTAATAATGGGTGTCTAGGTCAACATGGCAGTTGATACTGTCCGAATTCGAGCACCAAGTCAGCAAGATCCTATTTCGTAGCCGTACGTGTTCGGGGTTAGACTGGGGCTTGTCTACTGTAGGTATGGCTACAAAATAAGATCCTACCACCAAGTCTCTAGGACTTCTTTGGCCTGTTTTGTGTTGGCCATGACGACGACCTCAGTGTCATCCCGATTGAATCGGTGGTCGCACTGGGGTGCGCGCTCAATGACAAGGTCGGTGGGTCACGGCGACGGACAGCTATATCTTCATAAATACGAGTTCCAAAGCTTCGGCTCGTATGACAACCGCGCATGCAGGGGAAATTAGCAAACGGGATGCGATAGACTACTTTTTTCGCTGCCCTTTGGGAGTACAATCCTTCATTCGACAGAATGCTGCTCGCGTTACTTGCTTGGGAACCAGTAAATGACCGGATGGCCTACGTGCGACTGAAGGGTCACTTCACGAACATCTCCATCGTCGCTGTGTACGCACCAAATTCGGCTGCAGAACAGCGCGATAAAGAGGCGTTTTACTCTCAGTTGCAAGCGTTAGTTGAAAGACTGCCTTGCCGCGATCTGTTGATTGTTGCTGGCAATTGGAATGGTCTAACTGGACCTGGCGACCCCACAACCAGTCATCTTCTTGGCCGCTTTGGGCTTGGCTCCCGATGCGAAAATGATGATAGATTGCTGAACTTCGCTGATCGAAACCGACTGCTTGTCACCAACACATGCTTCCAGCATCGCAAAAAACATCTGCTGACCTGGTATTCAAACGACTGTCGTACGGCCAGTCAGATTGACTACATACTAGTCAGCTCAAGGTTCCGCAGCCGGGTTCACGATAGCAGATCAATGCGTGTTGCCGAGACTGGTAACGACCATGGGTCGGACCATGTCCTCGTCCGTACACGCTTGAAAGTTCATCTCTCATCCGCGCCAAAATTGCCACGATCTAGACGCCGCAATGTCGCAAAAATCCGGCAAGCCAACACTGCCGTGGCCCTAAGCAGAGAAATCCGGACCTGTTTTACGGCCCGAGTCGACGGAGAAGTCAGTAACCAGTGGTCGTCACTGAAGACATCAGTCTATGGGGCAGCTGAGAAAATCCTTGGATACACCCAGCGACGCCGCAGTGACTGGATCAGCGGAAGAACCCTGCAGTTGTCTGCTCAGACGGCTAGAGCTAGGTCCTGCAACGATGATTACTTCCGCCAACTTCGGAAGATGACGGCAAAATCGGCCAGGGATGACCGGAAGCAATATTGGGCAAAAATAGCGACCTCCATGGAACGGGCCTCGAACGTTCGTGACACTCGAAAGCTCTACCGTCTGATCCGCCAAGTTAGCGGTAAACCCTCTACACTGAGTGACTCTATTCGCGATGTGAACGGCGGCATTATTGCTGACAACTCGGCCAAAGTCGAGCGCTGGCGTGAGCACTTTGAGCACCATCTCAGTTTCGATGCTCAACGTACCTCGCCCTTGCTCTCCTTTTCAGCGGAGTTTCTTCCCTCTCCTACCTATGCAGTGCCATGCGATCCCCCCTCCGAGGGAGAAGTCGCCGATGCCATACGAAAGTTGCGCAACAATAAGGCACCCGGAGAGGACGGTATACCCGCTGAAGTCTTCAAGTCTTGTGTCGACACTCTGGCGCCCTGGCTCCATGAGGTGATTGAACGAGCGTGGAGAGACGAGGTTGTTCCTGATGACTGGGGCTTAGGCATCCTTGTACCTACCCTCAAGAAGGGAGATAAGATGCGAGAACTACCGCGGCATAAGTCTCATCGACGTTGCTGCGAAGATCTTCGCTATTGTCCTACTCAGACGATTCCAGGCTGTGCGTGACTCAAGGACGAGGCCCAACCAAGCCGGATTTCGTGCTGCACGTGGATGCGCAGACCAGATATTCACACTGAGGCGCATTCTCGAATTTCGTCATAGCTACCAACAACCGACGGCCGTCTGCTACATTGAATTTACCGCCGCGTTCGATTCCGTTCACCGTGAGTCCCTGTGGCGGATAACTGCGCCACAAGGCCTACTATCGCTCCACTACTGCAAGAGTTCTGGTCCGCAACAATCTTTCCCAACCGTTCGGTATTCGGTCTGGCGTCCGACAGGGCTGCACCCCGTCACCAATACTGTTCAACTATGCCATTGACTGAATCCTCGGGAGGGCCCTACGCGACAGTGACGGTGTCGAATTTGCACCCGGACATCGACTGACTGATCTCAACTATGCCGATGACATCGCCTTACTTGCTTCAAGTTTTGGTGATCTGCAGTCTATGGTGTCACGAGTGAACGAGGTCGCTAAATCGGTCGGTTTGTCCATAAACGCTGGGAAGACCAAAGTATTCTCAAGCTGCATCCCTGACCAGGAGAAGGCACCCCTCGGGATTGATGGCTGTCAACTTGAAGAAGTAGACAGTTTTAAAAACTTTGGGGCGAGGCTGCTGCCTAATAGACATAGTACGGACGACATTGTCTCCCTAATCGATGCTGCCCGCTGGGTTTTTTTCAAGTCTTCGGAAGTGCCTGTGGAACCGACGTGACCTCTCCATCGCCACTAAGATTCGCGTGTACCGTGCATCTGCCCAGTGTGTCCTTCTCTATGGCTATGAATGCTGGGCTTTGCGCGTGTAGGACGAGCGAAAACTGGAGGTATTTGACCACCACTGCTTGAGGAACATCCATCGAGTGAAGTTCACCGACTTCGTCTCAAATGAGACAGTCCGCATTTGCTGCGACAACATCTCAAGGATAACTCAGGCCATCCAAGAAAGACGACTGAGGTGGTTCGGGCATGTTCTTCGTCGTCCACCTCAGAAGCTGAGTGTTACTGCCCTCGATCCGGCACCGTTGCCTCATTGGAGGCGTCGAAGTAGAGCTCAGTTCAAAACCTGACTCGACACAGTTCGTCAAGACATGGAGGTGGTTCTTAGACCTTCGGTATTCGGTCTCCGTCGTTGGTGAAGGGAATAGGTTCAGCTGTCCAGATCTGCTGCCGCGGATCGTCGCGCGTGGAGAAGTACAGTTCGGGACATCATCGAGGCCGGCTAGATCAGGCATGATCGCAGCCGTATCAGGTACAAGTAAATACAAGTAATGCTGCTCGCAGTGAGGTTGCTGGGTTGTGGTTAAAACTGATACCGGACCGACTTAGCTGCCAGGCGATCACTCCCTGATTTCTCCGTTTGAAATGGGATGTCGGGGTTGTCTGACGCTCGAAACATTTCTTCACAAAACTGATCGGACGTCTGTTAGATCGAAACAACCGATGTAGATGAGCTATCCCTTTCCTCAGGAGATCATCACTACTGCAATAGTGGTGGTCCCGGTAGAATAGAGTTCGGACACAGCTTCTTTTGTGACCCGCAGGATGGTTGCTTCTGTAATTTAGGATAATCTCGGAACTTAATGCTTTCCTATGAACGCTTATTGCGAGGCTACCATCGCTCAGCCTTTGTATTCTCACGTCCAGAAACGTCAGGTTGTCTCCTACTGCACGTTCACGGGTAATTTATATGGCTTAGATGACGTTATTCAGCGCCTGATGCAGCCTTTCGACTTTGCAGTTCTTTATTGGGCAGAGGTGTCAGTAACATAGTGAAGCCACAATTTGCATTTGAACGTTTTAGAGATCTCTCCTTATAGACTCTGTAATACTAGTTCAGTGAGTAGTCCTGATGTCTGCGAGCCAATTGAGGTTTCTTTCACCTGTTGGTCTTTCTTCTTGTCGAATTGACTGTAGTTTCTAAGACAGAGGTTGAGCAGTTTTATAACATGCTGCGTTGGGATCTCAACAGGATTGTCCTGAAAGCACTGAGCTACACGGTCGATTGCCAAATCATGTGGCATAGAAAAAACAAGGCTACGACGTCAAAAGACAAGAAACATTCATCGGTGCATGCTTTAAGGCCCTGGATCCTGTGTAGGAATGCGTGGGAGCTGTTGGTGTGTTGTAAGATCCCTCGGCCAGCTACTTCAGAGGTTTTTGCAACCATTTAGCCATATTGTATGTAGGTAATCCGACGAATGGTACTATAACCCACAGTGAGACATCAACTTTGTGCACTTTTGGGAGAACATGCGCTTGTGCGATACAGGGACTATTGAGGATCATTAACTTTGAGTTATCTGAGCTTTTAAATTTCAGACGAGCGAGCTCGTTGGCGTTCTCCTCTATGACTGAGGCTACTTTTTTAGTCGGGCCTCCGGCAAGGAGAGTATAGACCTCCATGCCACTGAAGACTACACTCGTTTTGTCAATTTTGTCCCTGTTGATAGTGGCGCCACCCTTGCCAGCGGGAAGAATAACAATACGTGGTCCGACTTCAGGGATCGCAATCCTTGTGCTTCTTCGGCCGGGAGGGTTGCTAGTGTCTTTTTTGTCGGAGGGTACCAGTGGTATAGCTACCGGGAAGACGGGTTGCCCGTTAGCCTAGCTGCTGGCTACCCGGCGCGTCCACAGGTGGCGGATAGTGGGACGACCTTCAGTGAAGGTTAGCTGCGAAATAAGCAGACCTAGGTCTGACGAATAAGCAGTCGCGGACCAGCAGCGACATTGCTACCAGGGTGCGGTGGGCTGAAGTCTGGCACGCTGAAAGCCTTATAAAATGCCGCAAAGCCCAATGACGGCATTGTGACATGGCGACCGTAAACCGCCATTAAATAAGTTTACTTGCCACCGCTGCCTTGTGGTTAGGTTTTTAAGCCAAAGCGCTAGAGGAGACAACCTCGAACAAACAATCCGAGCGGCTGTTGGGGACCCGCCCGTATTCGAAATTCCCAAGAAACCTCATGCAACATGTCCAATAACAGTACTACGACCCATGCTACGGCGTCCGCGGGAACCGACGCGCTCCGCAACCCTAGTCCGGTGGTGCGGGCGAATAGTATGCGAGCTGGACTACTCAATCGTGGAAGGACTCTCGGTATTGGATGCTGGAACGTACGAACGTTCCTGGACCCTGGTACCCAAAGTCTGACCGCACGCAGCCTTCATCAGTACAACGTGGATGTCTGCTGTCTGTCTGAGGTACGACTCCCTGACTCGGGCTCTCGTGAAATAAAGATCCCGGGAGTCGAATCCCACTTCACCCTGTACCACAGCGGCCCCCGCGATTCCTCTGGTCGACACGGTGTGGCGATCGCCTTATCACAACAAGCGGAGCTTGCGCTACTTGCTTGGGAACCAGTAAATGACCGGATGGCCTACGTGCGACTGAAGGGTCACTTCACGAACATCTCCATCGTCGCTGTGTACGCACCAACTTCGGCTGCCGAACAGCGCGATAAAGAGGCGTTTTACTCTCAGTTGCAAGC